CTCGCTTCATCCCTCTCCCTGCGCCCGATTTCGTATCATGGTCATGTTCCTTCACAGCCTGACTGTTGGGCAACGACGGGGTCATTTAAACAAGTAGATGATTCAGACTATTTCTAAGAGGGATCTCATCCAGCCCCAGTGTCAGAGCACAGATCCGAGGGCGTGCTTCTCGCCGACAAGTCCTTGAGTCTTTTCCAAATAAAGTCACCTCTTCAAACGGCCAACCCTGGAGTGATGCCGTCCCACTGTCCCCTGCTGACCACAAACGAGTCCACAGATGAATGAGGGGCTACAGCCCTCAAGCTTGCCACCCCGCATCCAGAGCTAGATTCCAACACATTTCCCTGCTGTATCTGGAAGAAGATGAAAACATAGAGGCTAGTGCTCCGAGGAGAGCAGAGTTTCATGCCACTAAGGTCTGGCATGCGCCTGGATTTCTGCTGGGCAGCGGGGTTAGTTGCAATGTCCCCAGCACACAGGGCATTAAAGAAAGCTCTGGAGAATGATGGCAGGGCACCTGAGAAGGTACAAGGTACCATTGCTCTAAGGACTCCTCAAAACAATTTCCTCAGCATTGCCTCATACTATTCTTCCCTCGATTCTAGAATTTGGAAAATAATAATGATGGTATTATATTATTCAACGCACTGAACTCACATATACTTACTGGGGAGAGAGGAGATAATAGAAGTTCATACGCACGGGCATAGCTATGAAAGATTCTTTTTTTTAACTTTTTAATTAATTTTTAAATGTTTATTTCTGAGGGGGGGGCATGAGCTGGGGAGGGAGAGATGGAGAGGGAGACACAGAATCTGAAGCAGGCTCCAGGCTCTGAGCTGTCAGCACAGAGCTCGACACGGGGTTTGAACCCACAGACAGGTGGGATCATGACCTGAGCTGGAGCCGGATCCTGGCACGTTCTCCCTTTAAGAGTATATGGGCGTCGTTCTGGCACTGGCTACTATCAATGGCTCCTCCCAGGGGGAAAGATCTGGGTTGGTTGGCAACTGTTTGACCAAAAAAATGCAAGGGCAGGGATGTGCCCCTAGTTCCAGGCCCCGCCGCTAGGATGACTTCAAGCTTCCTTTCTTGCCCCAGGAAGTGTGATCTGTTGACTAAGAGGTCTGAATGGTTCTGCTGGAGAAGCAGCGAGGCCCTAGACATGGGAGCGAAGAAGCTGTCAGCCTGGCTAACATGATCATCTTCTACCTGGCAGTAGCTTCTAGAAAGACCCCTAGCAAGAACTGCCCAACTGAGCCCAGTTAACCCACAGAACCAGGAGAAATAATGAATTGTCGTTCTATGCCACGAAGCTTTGGGGCGGTCTGATACACCGCAACAGATAAACCGAGCAGGAAGTGCACACATTCGGGGCGCCTGGGTGGCTCAGTCGGTTAAGCGTCCGACTTCGGCTCAGGTCATGATCGCACGGCTTGTGAGTTCGAGCGCCACGTCAGGCTCCAGAGCCTGGAGCCTGCTTCAGATTCTGTGTCTCCCTCTCTCTCTGCCCCTCCCCTGCTCACGTTGTCTCTCAAAAATAAATAAATGTTAAAAAAATTTTTTTAATAAAAAAAAAGTAGACACATTCCCACTCTGTTGTGTGTTTTATAGTACCTCCTAGGAGCAGAACAATTCTCCACTGTATTCCTTGCTCCACCTTGGCTTTGGCCAAGGGACTGACTGAAAGCAAGGAATATAAGGTAGTAACAAAAACCACAGCTGGACAGAAACTGTAACAGCCACTTAGGCCTTTTCTCTTCCTCCGCTGACACAGAAAGGGCACGTCCTATGTCTCAGCTCTTCCTGGGGCCCATCATGAAAAGGAGCCCCCGGTCAGAGCTGGTCGGAGCTCAGGTGTGCTCCATCTAAATCACAGTCAGAGGAGGGCAAGCGAGAGACAAACCTTTGCTGTTGCGAGCCACGGACGTGGGGTTTTATCTTCTACAGAATCGAGTGCTGAGAGCGAGCCCTTTGTAATGCCATCTGAACAGTCTCACAAACCAGAGAACCAGACCAACATCAGGGAAAGTCACTGAGACAGAAAAGCACACGAGATCTTTCCCGTTCAGTTTCACAGAGGGTGACTGGCATTCTGCTAGATCCCAGGCACGCAGTGACACCGGTGCCCCATCCAAGGAGCCTATGGCCCGGTGAGGGCTCACTACTTAAGTATTTTCTGTAAAGGGTCAGAGAGTAAATGTTTTAGGCTGTTGTTTGCCAAGAGACAAGATTGAGGATAGTGCGTGGCTATGCATGGGACCATTTAAAATGTAAAGGACACTTTTAGCTCTCAGGCCATATGAAAGTAGGGGACACGATCTGGCCTAGGAGCTGCAGTTTGCTGGCCTCTGGTCTAGTGGTTGACGTCGGCTACATGAGGGGCTATTTCCAGGGTGCACATAATCAGTGTATTACACGAGCCCTTCCTGAAGCTTAGAGAAGAGACACAAACCAATCTGAGATTTTAGGAACCATTTTCTGAAGGAAAGAAAGCCTGAGTGGATCCTGAATATCCACTAAATGCTGCTGAGTAAATGTACAAAAAGGTAGAAAGGATGAGTTTTTGAAACCACAGGTTATGTGCACATGAACTGTATTTCCTCCCATTAACACAAGAGCATTTTATAAGAAGAACAAGCACCCAAAACTTCCCAACATAACTTGTCCAGGTTTGCTACATATAGACACCGTAGGGACACTCTACAAACACAGATAGCCTAGCCAGCCTCGACTGCCATCACAAAATACCACAGACTGGGCAGCTAACCAAAAAAAAAAAAAAAAAAAAAAAAAAGTTTATTTTCTCATAGTTCTAGAGTCTGGGAAGTCCAAGATCAAGGTGTCAGCCAACTTAGTTTCTACTGAGGTCTCCTCTTGGCTTGCAGAAAGCCGCCTTCTTACTGTGTCCACCAAGAGTATCCTCTCTGATGACTCTTCTTATAAGGACACTAATCCTATCAGATCAGGGCCCCAATGCCAGTTTCATTCTGAAAACACTGATTAGATACTTGTAATGCACAGGAACTGTTACTGAATATGAGATGGTCCCTACCTGGAAGTCCTGGGACATGTGAAATGCTGTACTTTATTTTATTTTAATTTTTTAAATGTTTTTATTTATTTTTGAGAAAGAGAGATGGAGCATGAGCAGGGGACAAGCAGAGAGAGAGAAGGAGACACAGAATCTGAAGCAGATTCCAGGCTGTGAGCTGTCAGCATAGAGCCTGACGCGGGGCTCAAACTCACAGACTGTGAGATCGTGACCTGAGCCAAAGTCAGACGCCCAACCAGCTAAGCCACCCAGGCGCCCTTGTACTTAATTTTAAAAGATATTCATCTCCTATTCTTTTATGCTCTTTTCATAGAGATAAACTCAACTCCTGGTTGAGTCTATATGTCAACCTAGACTTGGGAGAATACAAAGAACAGAGGTAAAAACCATTTTCCAATCATTCTCTTATATGCTATAGTCTACACACACACTCACACGCACACGCATGCACACACACACACACACACACACACACACACACACACACAGCCATGGTCACCACCCTCCTCTGGGGGGTAGGGCAATTCAAATAGCTGCTTATTTTAGTCAGCAGCCTCCTCACGCTGGTGGCTCAAGTGGAAATTCTGGACAACAAAGTGTTGCATCGCTTTTCTTAAATGAATATTTTGTCAAATAGATTTTCCATACTAGTTGCATGGTTGGTTTAAAACATAAATGCTAGATTTTATTCTTGTAATATTGATAATAGTTTATGCCAATGTCATTTAAAAATTTCACCTTTTTTATACAGGATTACCAATTTCCCTTCCTTCCTTCCTGTCTTTATTTCTTTCTCTCTCTCTCCCTTTCTTTTCTTTTCTTTCCCTTTCTTTCTTTCCTTCTTTCTTTCTTTCTCTCTATTGTTTTTTAACTACCTAAAAACAAACATAGTCCTTATTTCACCAGTGGCCGTGTTCCAATAAAACTTTATTTACAAAAATAGGTGGTGGGCTAGATTTGGGCCATGAGTGTAGTCGGCCAACCCCTGATCTAAAAACTATTTTGTTCATAGACATAGAGGAGAAAATAATCACACATATATGTTCTTTTAAGTAAAAATTGTTAGGTAAACATTATACACAACAATTTTAGAAATTTTTAACGGCAAGGAAATCCCCTAATTTAAAGTTTGTGGTTTGTGGAAACCATGAAAATGGTTTCCAAGGTATCAAAGTTTAGTAACTTTTACAAAAGCTTGGTCAGTGTATTTCATTGTTTCCCGGAGTGTTTTGTTTACTCAAGCTGGAAGAATATACTTAAACCTTGAACAAGACAGGTTTGACCTGTGTGAGTCCACTTACATGCAGATTGTTTTAGATAAATACGGTACAGAAATGTAAATGTGTTTTCCCTTCCTTATGGTTTTTCTCAATAACATTTTCTCTTTGCTACCTTACCTTATTGTAAGAATATATTATATAATGCATATAACTAACGAAATATGTGTTAATCCACTGTTTCTGTTATCAGTAAGGCTTCTGGTCAACAGTAGGCTGTTAGTAGGTAGGTTGTGGAGGAATCAAAAGTTACATGTGGGGTTCCAAGTGCTTGGGTAGAGGCGTTCCTAACCCAAACCCCACTGTTCAAAGAGTCAACTTATATCGGGGCGCCTGGGTGGCTCAGTCAGTTAAGCGTCTGACTTCGGCTCAGGTCATGATCTCACGGTCCATGAGTTGAGCTGCTTCTCTGGGGCTCCCCCGCGCTGACAGCTCGGAGCCTGGAGCCTGCGTCAGATTCTGTGTCTCCCTCCTTCTGAGCCCCCCACTCCATTCCCGCTCTGATCTCTGCTCTCAAAAAATAAATAAACAAAAAAAAAAAAAAAAGTCAACTGTATAAACAGTAAAATCAATGCCCGAAAAAGAGAACAAAACAGAAGATTCTTGCCACAGTCTGGTCAGAATGCAGGGCTAAGCAGTACATACAATGTCTCAAGAGCAGAATTTACCTTGACAGGAAATCCGAGAAGGAAAGGCGAACAGGGTATCCATATCGGATAATCTTCACCATGTCCAGGACTCCGATATATTGTAGTTGAGCAGATACATAAAAATTATCAAAGGTATCTGGCAGCCTTGAGTTATTGGGCTTGATGCAATGAACAAAGTGGGGCGTGCGCTTCTGAAGTTTTCCGATAATATCTGCTAGAGATTTCTAAGGAGAGAAGCAAAACACAACTGATTCTCCAAAGAAGACACTGCCCGAAAATGTAAAGAGTTTATCTTCAACCCACAACTCTTTTATTTAGTCTGAATTCTCTGTGCTGTGTGTGTCCGTGTGTGAGTGCTTACTGGTTTCCAAGTGGTCAAAAAGGGGGGGGGGGGGAAATGATGCAGAAACCCTCTACAGTTGACAAGATCTAAATCTAAATTTTGGAAAACCGAAAAGTCCACTAACCCTGAGTTGTGATGCAATCGTGACTGGACCTCCCCATTCTAGTCTTTGAAGAAACGAAGAAGTTCCTTTCTTTTTTAATAACTGTAATGAAAATAAAAAGAAAGAAAGGGTGAGCGGATTTATTTATGTAAGTATGTATCGACTGATTTTTAATTGTAGTTGACATTAGTCTCAGGTGTACAACATAGGGAGCGATCTTAGTAGTATTTTACTAAATTGCATTTACAAGAAAAAATTTACCCTCCCATCCACATAAATTCACTCAGACTGTAAAAATCAGTACCAAATGATTTTTCTGCGACGGTACTATGAATCGGGGAAATTGAAACTGCGCGTAGAAGAACCCCATTCCTGCCAGCCTTTCAAGTACACAGAAGTTGCCGTCCTGTATCTATTTTAATTTTGAGAGTAAACATCGACCCTGCCTTGCTGGGTAGCACAGTCCGCGCACCTGGGAGCCCTGGGTGTATCATCACCATGCATGTTTATCACGAAGCAGCAGGCTTACCACCAGGCCAAAGGATACTATGTTATGCTACAAAGGTTTGATGTTCTAACAAGCGCTGGTTTATTCCCTTAAGCTTAACCACAATCAATTTCTTCCCATTCCTCCTCTTTTTTTTTTGAACTACTAAAAGGAGTTAGTAAATTATCTGTCTGAAAAATGGCAACAATTTGTGTTTTCCTGGATGAGTAATTATATACGGCTCTTAAAAGAAAAAAAAAATCATATGTAGCAAAGATTAAATGATAATGGAGATAAAAGAAGTCAGTGGAAATGGAGCCAGTGGGTAAAGAAATAAAGGGCAGAAGGTAATTAATTAAACTCCACCAGGGGTTAAAAGGAACCGCAGCCACTAATGTACCATTTGCATTTCACAAAATCACGCAGACTCAGAGCAACGTATCTATAGATCCCAAATCATTTATGTTACAATAAAGAGGTCTTGGTAGGAGAAGAGAGCCTGATAAAAGACTCTTGTCAATGTGGTGCTATTGCTACCATGACAGCAGCTGATTTCTTCCCGTTGACATGAACTGTCAGGCTGGAATGACCCATTGTAACTGACAAGGGAATGTAAAAGGAAGCAATTGGTCCAAAATCAACCGGTTTTCTCCAAACACAAAGCCAAGTGTGATGCTCAGTTAAACAGTGGTAGAGCCCTACGCTGCCAGTCACAGGGCTGGCCGTGCAGAGATGCAGCCAGTATGAAGGGAAGTGAGGAATGGAACACTTAAGGAAGAATCGTAATAAATAAATCTCCATCCCTTGAAACTGAACGCTCAATTTCCCTTTCTGGGTGGAGGAACCACTGTGAATTATCTTCGTTTTGCAGTCCTTTAGGGAAAAGACTAATGGCATCTATGCCTGGTAATGTTTAATAATTAAGGTTAAAAATTACAGTGTAGAGGTGGGTGGTGATTTCTTGCTCTCGATTTCCAGCATGATTGAGGAAGGAAGGGCCAGAAGGTTCAGTGAAACCCTCAGGAGTAGAGATCTTCCTTACAAAGAGTAACCCTTTGTCTTTTTTATGTAAAAAATGCCATTTTGTATGCAGTGAGATTGAATTCCTGTGGTCACACAGGGCAGCAATGACTATATCGGAGGATCTCTAATTGTAGGGTCCACTGGCTAAACACACACACGCACACACACACACACACACACACACACAGTTATTTCTAATATGTTATATACATCTTGCCAATCTTCTAAAATAGAGCTGATTCTAATTATGCTTTCATTTTAATTGGTAAGCTAAAATGCATTCTAACAACCTACAACAACCAAATTTCTAAAACCGATTGTCCTGGACAGCTTCCCAAACAGATTTCCCCTCTCTGCAGTTTTGATGGAGACAAGCAAAACAAACCAGGCTACCGTCAGGCACTGAGTCCTTAAAGTTGCCACATTTCCTACCTGTGTCCTATCCGTTTGAAACACCCCTGCTGAATTTTTACTTCCGTGGTACAAACAGTCAGAACCTTCATGTTGTGAGTGTAACTGCACGTGTGGAGGGCAAGTCCACACTGGAAGTGAGGGTGATAAGAAAGTACGTTTGAAATCTACAGAGTCTACAAATATTCCAGCACCTGAGAAATACACAAGGTCTGTAAGAGAAACCACAATGTACTGTTTGGAGACCTGAAGCCTCAGCAGTGATTAATGTCAACAGAATAAGGTAGCTAAGTTTCTTCCCCGGAAGGCTAACGTTGCTGCAGTCACTCCCCATTCATCAGAGGGACAGTCACAGAGACGAGGCATAAACAGGATGTTGCAGAGACAACCAATAAAATTACTAACGCTCTACTTGCTATCGAACTTTCCCTCTGCTGGACTCTCCCATCATGTTTCCTCTGTCTGCTGGTTCTATGTCAGGCAGGCAACCTGTCTTTCATTTTAAAAAATCAAATGATTTATTTCCATCAGTTTTCAAGACTGCATTAAAAAAAAAAAAAAAAAGAAGTAAACGTACTGAGCAAACTTCAAAACAACCAAACAAGAATCATAGAAACTCCTACCTTACTAAGTTCTAGATAATTCCTGTTTTCTCCAATAACTGAAGAAGCCGTCATCTTCTTACTGAGCAGGGCACATTTATGTCCTCTGAACTTAAAAGAAGGATAGGAAGATACGAGGGATCCTGTCTGTGACAGTTTCGACTGGAACAAGTGATTGATCACGACATTTTCACTGGCTAGGAAATAAATAAAAGCATATCATGAGTGGCATTAAAATCAGTATTTTTTAAAAAAATTTGTTAACGTTTGTTTTTGAGACAGAGACAGAGCGTGAGTGGGGGAGGGGCTCAGAGAGAGGGAGACACAGAATCTGAAACAGGCTACAGGCTCTGAGCTGTCAGCACAGAGCCCCACGCGGGGCTCCAACTCATGGACCTGAGATCATGACCTGAGCCGAAGCCGGACGCCCAACCGACTGAGCCCCCCAGGGGCCCCCAAATCAGCATTTACATGAGCAGTAAACACCCCAGTGCTGCTGCCACTACAACTTTCCAAGTGCAAGATGTCACTGAAGGCGTCTGTCTTCCCCTTTGCCCCTATTTTGTTTTCCCCACCGTTCATCGTAACACTTGATGAATTCTGATCTTCCTCTTGCCCTTGGCCAGGAGTCTTGAACCCGGGTCTCCTGTCCTGTACTTGAGCACCTGGCCGTTGGTTCTCTGAGTGACATTCGCTGCTCTCGTAGCCGTGGGAGCCACACCTCACTTTCTAGGGTCTCCGGGCCTTCGGTGCCCTTGGCCAAGTCCTGAAGACCTGTGGCTTCGGCCAGCCGCTCCCCATCCCCAGAAACACACTTCCTCGGATGTAACTCGTCTCCAGGTGGTATTTAAACACCTGTGGGAGACCCTGTCTCATTTGGTTGTACCAGGTGTCAGGGGAAAGAAATGCCCTCTTTTTTCTGATCCAGTTAAGCTATACATGTAAAACGCTAATATATTTCAGATGTTACGTTATACAAATTCTAATACATTCTGGCTACAAATTGGAATAGCACAGTGAAAACTGTATGCAGCAATTGGAAATCTAAAAGGCATGCTTCTCATGTCCCCTATGTCTGTATGTAGACAATCCTCACGCTTCAGTTTCCTTTTCTACAAAGTGACCATCACATACCCACCTTGAGGATTATACAGGATTAAAGGGTGAAATAATGTGCATATCTTTTGGGATCCTGCTTACCTATCAGCTAGCGAGCAGTGGTCAGTGGCAAAGCAGTGTTCCTAACTTTTCCACATCCAGATTATTCTGCTTGCTCAGGCTAACATACTTAGTGGCAATTCGTACAAAGGAAAGTCACTACATTAATAAACAAACAGGGAACCAGGGAGAAGTGTCAGAGAGGAGGGAGAAACAATTATGGAATGCAGGAAGCAAAAAGGGGCTCTGTGGTACTGGATGAAAATTAGAGCTCTCAGGATACATTCATGATTGTTAAAATTTTTTTTAAAAATGTTTATTTATTTTTGAGAGAGACAGAGACAGAATGTGAGTGCGTTGGGGGGAGAGAAAGAGGGAGACACAGAATCCGAAGCAGGCTCCAGGCTCTGAGCTGTCAGCACAGGGCCCGATGCGTGGCTCGAACTCACCAGCCGTGAGATCATGACTTGAGCCAAAGTCGGACACTCAACCAATTGAGTCACCCAGGCACCCCAAAATTCATGATTTTTAATATAGGGCTGCATCTCTGTCTGTTACCTGTGTATCTTTAATTGTCTAGTTCAGAAGGGGCCTAAAAGCAAGGACAATCCAGTAGCAATGAGCTCACAAGCTCCCAGCCCTCAGTGTTCCTTAATACCATTCTTGTCTATGATAAACCTAAGCGTGTCAGGCACACAGCTGATTCTGAGGCGTAGAAGATGATCCCAGAACATTTTGGAAGGCAGGACTATAAGACAGTGCTAATAAAGATCATGAGAACCTGAAAAAGAACGTAGGGGCTCACAGACTGTGATTCATTGAATGGAAAAGAATCCATGAGTCCATACTGATAGCAGTCTAATTCATCAATGAATGACAAAGGGGAGATCGTACAGTTGAATGTTACTATTGATGGGAAAATTGGTGGGGGGAGCAGAAAATCACAATAGCGCGACCATAAGAGGCATCATTGATTTAGGCAAGAATCATTCCTGCACCCCAGCCAGCGGATGACGGTCTGACAATATTTCCTTGCCTCACCTCCCTCACAAGCTACTTATCAACTACAGAGTGAAACAGCAGCTTTCAATTACGGAAGCCGGAAGGATGCCCCCTTAACAAGGCCGTGCCACCAGTAGGGTCTCAGACTGTCACTGTGTTCTCCAAACAGGAGGGGCTGAGGACCCGCCAGCACCTCTGTGGGGTTCCCACCGAGCAGGGACGGGCTGACACCCACGTGAGGAAACTGCAAATAAATCCAGATTGAGGGACAGCCTTCAAAATAACTGGCCTTTAGGTTTTAAATGTTAGTCACGAAAGAAGAAGAAAAGCAGAGAAAATGTCCCCGGTGAAAGAAGACAGGAGGGAAATGGCACTCAGTGCAGTGACTGGCCTTGAACTGGGGGGAAATCATTACGAAAGACATGGCGGGGGTAAGCGGCACAGAGATAGGAACTGGGGGTTAGACATTAGGATCGTGTCAAGGTTCAGAACTCTGATAGTACTGATGTTTTGTAAGATACCGTCCTTGATCTCAGGATGCATACCAAGGTGTGTCGGCAGAAAGATGCCTGTGGCTTACTCTCAAATGGTTCAGAAAATACATGCACATGCACATGCACACGCACACACACACGCACACACACAAGCACAGGCACACAGAGGGAATGGACGGGGGAGTAGAAGACAGGGTGGGAAGATGGGAGAAGGTAGAGGAAGAGAAATGAAGAGAGGAAAGTAAATCTGGGGAAGGGCATTTGGGTGTTCTTGGTACTAATTTTGTAATTTTAAACTTGAAATCGTTTCAACATCACCAGTTTACGTTGGACTCGGAAGCATCCCCTGCAGGGGTCTACAGACATTATCACATCGAGTGTCTTCCTGCCAGCAAATCGGGATAAGCTAACTTTGGTGTGCCGTTTATGAGCAGGTTTGTGGAGACGCTCAGAGGTAAAAGACACAATAGCTGTTGACCAGGTATCACACAAACAAAGGTATGTTTGTTCAGATCCCGCAACAGACCCTACCACCTTCCTCATGTGTGAGCTTTTTGATAATATAAAGACTGAATTAGATACTACAAAGTACCTTGCAAGGTACTCGAAAATAAAAAAAAACAAACAGTATCTATAAATTACACTTGCTTTTAACAATTACTTACGACATCAAAACATTTTACAGATTAATAAAATACTATCATAACCATGCCTCTTTTGTTTACATGATAGAATAGGTGAGCAACCATGGCCTGTGGGTCAAATCTGGCTCGTGGCCTGTTTCTGTAAACAAAGTTTTACTGGAACGCAGACCTGTCCAATTGTGCTGTCTACACCTGCTCCCTCATTATAACAGCAGAGTTGAGTAGCTGCAACAGAGACCTACAGCTTGCAAAGCCTAAAGTGTTTATTCTCTTGTCCTTTATAGAAAACATCTCCCATTTACCTATAACAAGACACTGTAAATTTCATCCTCTTGTTCAGATGTACCTGCAGCTGAAGGCATTTGGAAGAAAACAAGACTCACTTCCTTTTTCTTGGAGCTTATTAGCAAGTGTACACAACAGAATGACTTCAAAATACAGGGACGGTGTGAAGATAAGCAGATAATCACAATATCACTAACCGCCAGGGGCGCCTGGGTGGCTCAGTCAGTTGAGCCTCCGACTTCAGCTCAGGTCATGATCTCACAGTTTGTGAGTTTGAGCCCCCTGTGGGGCTCTGTGCTGATCACTCAGAGCCTGAAGCCTGCTTCGCATTCTTGTGTCTCCCCCTCTCTCTGCCCCTTCCCTGCTCATGCTCAGTGTCTGTCCCTCAATAATAAATAAATGTTAAAAAAAAATAAAAATAACTTGATATCACTAACCGCCACATTCTCTTTCAAAACATATATTCCATTGCCTGAAATACAAAAGTAAAGAAGGCACGGCACCGACTTCAAAAAACACGCTATAGATTAGATCTTCAAAAAATATATGACTTGAAAGGTCATTTATTTATATGACTCCAAATGGAAGTTGACATCATTAAAAACTAGAAGGAATATATTTGCAATGATAATTAGTAGGGTCACTTATTTCAATTCTTTCTTTCTACATGAAACTCTTCCAATCTCACGCCTTCCCCACCGGTCTCCGTTTCAGGAGAGCTCGGTAAGCAAAGGTCTGAGAGACAAGCAGAGTAATTCCCTGTGAAAAACTACATTGTGCATCTGCTCTGCTTGATTGGAGGTAAGTATGTGCCTCAAACCAGCGGTGACACGGATGTCTTGTTTCCAGCTCGGAGGCACTTAACTATCTCATGAAGGTCTATCGCTATCAGGGACTCCGTTCATTTAGAGCAACTTGCAGCACAAAAGATGATATATTTTGATCCACTGAACAGGTTGTTTGGAAAATGAGAAGCCCTGCAGAACTGCTAATAAGAAAGAATTGCTAGAGGAGGCAGAAGATACATACTGGTACACACAAACGCACCACATGTAAATGCCATATAGTAACTTACATGTTGTGTAGAGATACATGCGCCTAAAGGGCTAAGATTCACTGAGTTGATGGGGCCTATAAATTTGCAGATACATGCATCCACGCACGTATGTGTGTGTATATAAATTCGTACACTCCCTCTGCTCCGTGGGCTTTAATTCTTTATAACTGAAAGTACGTAAGAATAAAATACCACCCTTAGGTGTGCTCCAGCGTCATCTTAAGTAATGGAATTCACCCTGCTGTGGCCTAAATAATTTTGGAAGCTGTATTCGTCTTCATTAGTCGTCACAAAAGAGCTTTTTTATATTCATATCGCTAGAGTGGTAAAGGTATTTTATATTTCTATCTGCTAAAAGCTTCGTTAAATTATGGTTTCTACTAGACTCCAAATTAAATTGTAGCCAATGTCCAGTGTGGCAAGATCCATTCTTTAATATTCTGGGCTTTAGGATGTAAGAGATATTTCAACTATTCTGTAGCTGGTGGCATATTACCAAGGACAATGTTCAGAGACGGAGAGACGGAGAAATAAAGAATGTGTGGCATTTTAACCATAGGGGGAAAACTTACTTTTCATTACAAATAGAAGATTCTGTGAAAGGGAGTCTTTATTTTTTTCAATTGCTCCGACAATTTCATACGTTACCTATAATAAAAGAAAATGGCATAGTTACTAATGTTTAAACATGGCCACCAAAATAATTTCCTTTAAAGAATAATTTGACGCAGAGGATGTTTTCAATTATTCATTAGAGAGGCGTGTCAGGTCTTCAAGTTCACGTTACACACAAGTTCAAAGCTCCCATCCAGGTGCTGTCTTTCTGCACATGAAAAAAGGGACACCCCTCCTGCTCTAATTTTCCAACTCCCCCTTCTGACTGCGAGTTCAAGAGAACATGGTGGTGGCTCCCATTCATGCAGGCCCCCTTTATTCTCGAGGACCCTACCCTACTCAGAAAACTCACTAAACCAGGAAGGAGGACTCCGCCATGCCTGGGGAAGGAGGAGTGACTTCGGTTTGATAAATTCAATGGTCTCTTTATTGAAAAGGTCATTTTGGATCATTTAAACACTTAATCTCAAGTCTTTAAAATCAAGAAAACATGGGGCACCTGGCTGGCCAGGTCAGTAGAGCACGAGACTCTAGATCTCTGGATTGTGAGTTCAAGCCCCATGTTGGATGTAGACATTATTCAAAAATAAAGTCTCTTAAAAAAATGAAGAAAACGTAATGATTCTGAATTAAACATATAAACACAGACCCTCCCCCCCCGCCCACACACACACACACACACACACACACACACACACACACTAGACTCCCTGATTTTCTCTAACAACATTCCTTGCTGTCTTTGCTCCTGTTCTGGCCTTGTTTTGAAATGGCCATTTCTACATCCTGCGGTAAAATTCCTGCCGTACCTTGAGGGTAGTTACTACAGACTGTTCAGCTCTGTCTGCCCCCCATACTTAGCAAAATGCCCTGTCGACTGGGCACATTTGTTCATTTGTTTTTGTTTCAAGTTTTTATTTAAATTCCCGTTAGTTAACATACAGTGTAGTATCGGTTTCCGGAGTAGAAGTGATTCATCAATTCATCAGTGATTCATCACTTCCATACGACACCCAGTGCTCACCCAACAGGTGCCCTCCTTGGTGCCCATCCCCCATCTAGCCCATCCCCCACCCACCTTCCCTCCAGCAACCTTCGGTTTGTTCTCTACAGTTAATAGTTTCTTATGGTTTGCCTCCCTCTCTTTTTTTTCTCTTCCTCCCCCTACGTTCATCTGTTTTGTTTCTTAAATTCCACATATGAATGAAATCATAGGATATTTGTCTTTCTCTGACTGATCTATTTCACTTAGCATAATACGCTCTAGCTCCATCCATGTCATTGCAAATGGCAAGATTTGAGAAGATATTTTCAAATGACATATCTGATAAGGGGTTAGTATCCAAAATCTATAAATAATTTTTCAAACTCAACATCCAAATAATAAACAATACAGTTAAGAAATGGGCAGAAGACATGAATAGACATTTTTCCAAAGAAGACATCCAGATGGCCAACAGACACGTGAAAAGATGCTCAACATCACGGACCATCGGGGAAATACAAATCAAAACTATGATAAGATACCACCTCACACCTGTGAGAATGGCTAAAATTAACAACTCAGGCAACAACAGATGTTGGCAAGGATACAGAGAAAGAGGATCTCTTTCGCATCGTTGGTGGGAATGCAAACTGATGCAGTCACTCTGGAAAACAGTATGGAAGATCCTCAAAAAGTTAAAGATAAGGGTGCCTGGGTGGCTCAGTTGATTAAGTTCAGGTCATGATCTCACAGTTCATGAGTTCAAGCCCCACGTCAGGCTCTGTGCTGACAGCTCAGAGCCTGGAGCCTGCTTCAGATTCTGTGTCTCTCTCTGCCCCTGCCCCGCTCACACTCTGTCCCTCTGTCTATGTCTCTCTCAAAAATAAATATTCAAAAAATTTTTTAAGTTAAAAATAGAACTACCCTACGATCCAGCATGGGGCACGTTTAATAAATATTTGGTGAAATGAACAAAAAGGTTGTGTTATATTATGACCAACTATAGCAAAACACTGTGCTGTCCATTTCATTCAAGATTGTGCTGTTGAGTCTTTCATTTTCACAAGATCATGTGCTCTGGAAAGTTTTCACAAATGGCCCCGGGACGTGGATACATGGAGAAAAAGCTAAAGGCCTCCTGTTAAAACTAAAGTTCAAAACCTCTCAGTTGGGAGACTCTAGCTGGTCAAGTTCCCTGGAAAACAACATCTAGTACACACATCCAAGTACAAATAAATGCTCATTGAGGGCAGTCTGATGCTCGTAGGAAGCATGGGGTTTAGCACAACTTCATACTTTGTGTAACATTAGCAAATCTTGAATTACTTTGTGCTAACTATTTTGTGACGATGTCACTCTCAGGGTCTTTCTTCGTGTATGAAATAATACTCTGAAGGGCACTCCAAGTGTGAGAGCGCCTGACTAGGGTTGGTTGACCACCATATGGACAGGGTTTCCGTGTACAGCTCAACACAAGTATTAGACACTTCCCACAACAGCATATTCCTTTATCATCACAATATAATAATGCAAATGACGGAGAACACGTGACGTAAAATTGGCATTACTGGAGTGTTAACGCATCGTTCTAAACAATATTTTTTTCTGGGTCCCAAATCTGGAACGAAATAACTTCCTCAAGAAGCCCTTGCGTACTTGAGGAGAAAATCAAATGAGACTCCCTCCTGAACCCTGGAGGTGATTAGCAGCACATTATTGGGGGGACTCAATGTTTCTAGTTTTCAGTGGATGGATCCAAGAAGTATACACACCCAACAAACACATAGGTGAGGGTTTAATTTTTTTTTTTTTTTAATCTCAACAATAAAATACAACCAGATTCCAAATTTGGTCTCTTAACCATGACAATTTCTTTACATCAGTGACATTTAGTATTGGCTTTGTCAAAGGCAATCTGAAAATCTAAATAAATGATACCCACTCGTGCCCATTTATTACATCCATGTATAACCTGCTACCAACAGCTTAAAATATTTCTGACTTAAGCTTTTAATTTTGAGATACTTGCAGATCCCCACGCGGTTGTTAAGAAATAAAACAGACAGATCCTGTAGACCTCTCACCCAGCTTCCCCCAATGGTGACATCTTGCAGAACTATCACAACCAGGGTAGTGGCATTAATGCAATGACATTAATGCAGGACATTTACCTCAGCGCACAGATCCCGCGTGCTGCCCATTTATGGCACACTTACCTCCCCCAAATCTGTTGAACATATTGGTAGGAGTCTGCTTCTGGACCCTTTACTCTGTTCCATTGATCTGTGTGTCAATCCCCCCACCACTGTCTTGATTACTGAAGTTTTATAATAAGACGCTAAATTAAATGGATGAATTCTTCCCCAATTATTCTTTATAAAAATTGTGTAACCTATTCTAATTTAGTCACCATTCTGTATAAACTTCAGAAAAACACTGCCTCTCTCTATCTCTATGCCTCGACAAATTTTTGCTATGATTTTGATCGGCATTGCATTAAACCTGGGTTGCGATTTGGGGAGAAGGGTTACTATGTTGACTACTATGTAAGTTACGTAGTAACTTACATACTATGTATGTTACTATGTAAGACTACTGCCCATACTGTCTTCTAAGCGGTGAACATGATGCGCCTCCTTCTATGCAGCTCTCTGGGTTCTTTCATCAGTGTTTTGTGGGTTTCAGCAAACATATCGTCTGCATGCTTTGTTAGATTTATACCTCTTCACATTTTTTAATGAGCAATTGTAACTGTTATTGTATTTTTCATTTCAGTGCTCTTTATTAGAATATAAAAGTACAATTGATTATTTTGTGTTTATGTTGTATCCTGTGACCTTGCTGAACTCACTTATCGGTTCTATGAGGCTTTTTTCCTTTTTTAGTAGATTCCTTGGGATTTCATACACAGACAATCACATCATCTATAAAGAGGGACAGAGTTATTTCTTCCTTTCCAATATATCTGCCTTTTCTTTCATTTCTTGCCTTACTGCACTTGCTAGGACTTCCAGCATTGTGTTTAATAACAGTGGTGAGAACGGGCGTCCCTCCCTTCTTTCTGATCTTGTGAGCAAAACACTCAGCTTTTCACCATCAAATACTATGTTAACTGTAGGACATTCGTAGATGCTCTTTATCAAATTGAGGTTGTGTGTCCTCTATCCCTATTTTCTGAGTGTTTTTATCATGAATGAATGCTGAATTGCCAAATGCTTTTTCTGCATCAAATTGATATGATCATGCGACTCTTCTCTTGTTTAGCCTATTAACATGGTGGGTTATCTTGACCGATTTCAAATATCAGACCAGCTTTGCATCTCCAGAAAAAGAAACAAATTATTCACAGTGGATCATTCTTTTCACACGTTGTTACATTGCAGTTGTTAATCATAATAGTCTTTTTGCATATGTGTTCATGAGGGATACTGGTCTTCAGTTTCCTGTGTCTGTGTGGGTGTGAGTGTGGTTGTGTGTACTGTCTTTGTCTGGGTTTAGTACTGGGCACTACTAGCTTCATAAGATGAACTTAGAAGTGCTCTCTCTTCTATTTTCTAGGTAAGACTATGTAGTTACCGTTAATTTTCCTTTAAACGTTTGGTAGAATTCTCCTGTGAAACCACCAGGGATTCGAACTTTCCTTTGGGGAAGATTTAAATTACAAATTCATTTCCTTGATGCTTATGGGGACATTCAGTGATCTCTTGCCTTGGGTCAACTGAGGTGGTGTGTGTTTTTTTGAGAAATTGGTCCATTTCATCTAAGTCGTTTGTGACAGTTGGGTGTCTATCCCTTCTGATCTTTCTGATGTCTGCAGGGTGTGTGGTGACATTTCTGATACATCGCACCTTGTGTCTTTTCTCCTTTTTCTTTGTCATTCTTTCTACAGGCTTGCCATTATTTTGGTTATCTTCAAACAACCAGCTCTTTGTTTCATTGATTTCCTTTAACTTGTTTTGATTTCATCGATCCCTGGTCTTGTTACTGCCTTCTCTTTGCTTGCTTTGGGTTTACTTTGCTCTCACTTCTCCAGGTTCCTGAGGTAGGA